TTATTTATAATTAATTTATAATTATTGTGAATGTAGCTTATATATATATGAATTAAAATTAATTTAGACATTTTTAAATGTGAGTATAAAGTAAAAAATATTGTTGTGATACAACTGCACTGATATCGCTATGAAGAAAAATAATGAAATTCTTGAAAAGAAAACCTTATTAAGTAATTTGGCATAAACTTGCAATCTCTGCCAAACCAGTCATGGCTGTGATTGAAGGTCAACAAGTCAAGTCAAGTCAAATCACTTTTATTTATATAGTGCTTTATACAATGCTGATTGTGTCAAAGCAGTTTTACAGTGTCAAACAGGAAAATAGTTTGTCAATAACGCTACAAGTCTCTTAAAATATCAGAAAATTAGATTTTTTTTAAGACAAAACATTCATTATAATCATTATGAAAGCAGCTTTTTAATCAATTATGAGAGACTATGTGGAATATTTGTACTTGTTTTTTAAATTATGACACATCAAGAACACACATTTTAAATAAACTACTTAAGGCTTAAAAGATAATTGCTGTTTGTCCAGCCCTCTTTAAATCAGATCTTCACTAAACACTGGTTGTAGTCTGACAGTCTTTTGAAAAGACTGTGATGTCCATGTGGCCATATGCAGTCAGACTAAAGTGGGTTTAGATTTCAAAAATAAGGACCTTGTTTTGAAATGGACAGTTCACCTTCATTTTTTGTTCTTCCTTTTTTCACCTCTTAGGCGGACATGTATGCTGGAGCCATTTTCATCAGCCAGGCTCTGGGACTAAACATTTACCTGGCTGTTGTTATTTTGCTGCTCATTACGGCTCTTTACACAGTAACAGGTCTGTTGACTGAAATACTGCATACTTTATAGTTACATTTTCTACATCAGTATTTCACTCTCCCTTTACACATATATACAGACAGACATATAGATAGATAGATAACCAACAATAAACTGTAAGAAATCAGAAATCATCTTATCAGCAGTAAATGTCTCAGCTGTGGCTGAGAGTGTTTGTATGCTTCTGTGACTGATAAACTGCAGTTGCTAAGGTTTTTAGAGGCCCAAAGATTAATACAATGCTGCTTCACAATTTCTGAATTAAAATTCATATAGAGAGTATATAGTCAAAAATTTTTATGGCGATACAACTGTCCTGATACTGTAGTAGAGAAAAATAAATAAATTCTTAGAAAGAAAAGTAATTTAATAATATATTTAATTTTTATTCATGAGAAAACTCTGTATATATATATTAAAAAAATTACTGCTTAATATATGAAAAACATTTGTCAGCCAATCCAAAGCATGTGGTGCGACCAACGTGTAAAAATGTGCAGTAAAAAACACAACAGGAAATGATATCATAGAGGACCCCTGCAGACTCTCATTACAGTGGGTGAAGGTCAAAGTCTCTTAAAATATCAGATAATTTGACATTTTATGACAAGGCAAGTTTAGTTCACCCTTGTGAAAAAGAAGTATATACATTTAAAAAAATCTTTATGGAAATAATATACTGTAGTAATATAATATAGTGCAAAAAAGCTTAAATGTGAACTGTTTTTTAGACATTTAATTGGATGTCAATTGCAATGTCATGTATTTAAATTTATTTGTAATTAGTAATGATGAAGCTGCAACTTAATACACTTGAAATATATAATATAATATATTAACTTTATAAATATATTAACTTTAAATGTAATATCAACTATCACTCTACAGTTAAAATCATAATCAAGTACTTCAGATATATAGAGTGCGGGATAGAGTGTCCTCTAGAGGAGCTTATGGGAACTCCAGCTGGCAAGAAGGGTACCAAGGTGGCGCAGGGTGCCCGGACAGGGCTGGCAGAGCAGGGAGCCAGGGCGGAGCTGAAGATCACCAGAAGATCACCAGGGCGGAGCAGACGGGATCGAAGATTCCCACGGCGGAGCAGATGACCACCACAGCTGAGCAGACGGGACCGAAGATCCCCACGATGGAGCAGATGACCACCAGGGTGGAGCTGATAGAGCTGAGGAACACTTCAGTGGAACTGATGGTGCAGGGAACCACCACGCCGGATCAGGTGGGACTGGAATAGAGAGTAGAGACCTGCACTCCCGCGGGAGTACCGCGGGACCCGCGGGACCCAACGCAACAGGGTGCGGCGCGGGACAACTCATGATGGGCGAGTGCGGGTGCGGGCGGGAAGAGACTCGTGTGTGTGCGTGATGCGGGAGAATAAAATGATTCGCGGGACTCCCGCAAAATAGAAATTATCTAAACATAAAATGTCTAAAACATATACATTTTTATTTATGTGTTGCAAAAGCAAAAAGAACAACTAATAACATTAAAATGATTAACACGCGCAAGCTAGGTAGAGTTTCTGTTTATAACACGTGTTTAAAGCGTTGCGCAATGTAGCAAATCACAGACTCAGCTGTTGATTTCTGGAACAATGGCCAACCAGAGGTGATTAAGTTAGAATCTACTCACCGCAGTGCTGAAATTGCGTGCTAACATTCTGCTCGCATGCACTGCTCGCATTCTGCCACCATGCCAAACAATGCACGCAACAGCCCATGCTTGCTTTTCTGTTAAAAATAACAGTGGTTTGTGAATGTTGATGCTTAGCCTAAATGACAAATATTTTATCGGGAGCATTTATGCTGGGATGTTGTGGATCTTAGGAGATGTTACAGAACCATTTAATGTAAATTTCTTTGATGTGCTGAAAAAAAATCTATATTGATTACTTTTATACGGGATTTTGCGGGTGGGAGCAGGACAAAAGATGAATGTGCGGGCGGGAGCGGGCCCAGATAAGATATTTTTCTGCGGGAGCGGGAGGGCGCGGGACAGAATCTTGCGGGAGCGGGACTGAATAATCCATCCCGCGCAGGTCTCTAATAGAGAGCACAGAGAGATTAACAACGGCCTCTGCGGCCGTAACAAGGCAGGCAGAGAGTTTACAGATGGCCTCATTGGCCGTGACAGGACAGTCAGAGGGTTCACGAACAGCCTCTTTTTTGGAAACAGAACAGACAGAGAGTTCATAAATGGTAACCTTGGCCGTGGCTGGACAGGCAAAGAGTTCATAAACGGCTTTCTTGGCTGTAACAGGACAGGTAGAGAGTTCATAAACGGCCTCATTGGCTGTAACTGGACTGTCAAAGGGTTCACAGGTGGACTCCAAGGCCAGAACAGAACAGTCAGAGAATTCACAGACAGCCTCCTTGGCCGTGACAGGACAAACTGAGAGTTCAGGAATGGGCTCCTTGGCCATGACAGGGCAGACTAAGAGTTCCCCATTGTCCAAATACCCACACTTGTGGTCTTGGCCACTTGAGAGTGCGTGCATGCGACAGGAAGTGCGCAAGGTCTTAAAAACGCCAAAGCGCAGTGCCCTTAGCGCACACTAAATCCACACTATCCGAATACCGTTCTAGAGCGGTATTCAAGGCTTAGTGTATCCCATCATGCATCATGTTCTGGAAATAAATCGTGAGACTTCTCGCTAGAGGTCAAGGAAACCTTTCCATTGCATGTTAAATATTAATAATAGTTAGATATTACATATAATTTGGTAGTAAAACAAAGAGTTGCACGTTTTATCGGTGCAAATGTGTAGTGGTGATAATTCTTTTGTAAAACATTTGCAACTGATTTTATTCACTTATTTAGAAGCACCATACAATTAAATTTTGTCATCTGTTATAGGGACTTCTGAACAGACATTTAGAAGTTGATTTTAAAATGAAAAGTATTGAAGAGAATAAAAATAAAACTCTGTAAACACTTGCATTTTTACAACACTATAAAGTGTGTCCCATCAGGTAATGAAAAGTTCTACACACAGTTGTGGTCTTCATGCTCACTTGAACACTTGGACCAAATACAGGAAATAAGTCATATTAGTAGTCAAGTGGTCAAGTGCAAAGACCGCAAGTGCGGGCATTTGGACAAGGAGTTCATAAGTGGCACCAGTGCCCTGAGAGGAGAGGACACAGATGACTCGGGACGTTCTGCAGCGGAAGCCGCCACCTCTGGAGGTTCTGCAGCAGAAGATACCACCTCTGGGGAAGCTACGGCGATGTGTGTGGCCCAAATGCATAGAATGACCGTAGCACTCACAGGCAGGACAGAGAGCACAGTGTCTATTTCCGAGACAGACGGCGCTGTGACTGGTAAACTAGAGAGCATCATGGTTTGCGGGCCTATGAGTGCTGAGACCAGCAAACTTAAGTGTGTAGCGGGTCTGCCATACTGGAAACCAGCCTCAAACTCCTTTGGAATGCCTTGGTGTCTTCAAATGCAACATTCATGATGCTCGGGAACACATCCGTGATGGCTGAAGACTGTGGCTTGACATTCATAATGGCTGGAGGCTCTGGCGTGGTGGCCCTGACTTGAACAGGCCCTTGAATGGTGGCCTTGTTGTGAAGAGGCCCTGGCTTGACAGGCTTGACGTGAGCAGGCTCTGGAACAGTGGCCATTTTGTAAAAAGTCTCTGGGCTGGCGGACATTTTGTGGAAAGTCTCTGCCTCTCCCACAGTGAAAGGAGAACCACATAGCAAAACAGCATAGTCCAAAAACTGACATAGTGAGCCTCAAAGACCATGACAGATTAGTTAAGTTCATAGTGGTTCATTAAGTCCATGGCAAAAGAAATCTATGAGTGCACACTCCGGGAAATCAGAGTGATGAACAACGTTTAAAAAGTCCTGAATGTGATCCTCGAGGGACCGATTACCTTGAGGGTGAAGAGCGAATCTGATCACTGGGTCCATGATTGGTCTGGGTCATTTAATAAAGCTGCTAGATCCAGGTTTTGGCTGGATATTCTGTTACATAGGGAGGCGTGACAACGGTGATGTGGATGCAAGTGCAGGCTTTAATAATAAACATAGTCAGGCAGGCAGGGTCCAGTACCAGCAAACAGTAGCAAACAAGGCAATCCAAAAGGGTAATCCAAAAACAGGCGAAGGTCAGGGCAGGCAGCAAACGATCATAAAACAGATAAACGGTCCAAGATAAAACACACAAAGGCAAGGCAAGGCAAGGCTTGTAGAAAACCCAGAATACATGAAGACGTTACAGGCCAACAATATCCAGCAATGTGTGAGTGAGTGAGTGAGTGTGAGTTTCCCTGCGTTCCATTCGGAAGGGCTCATCCCTATGCCCTAATCCCTTCAAAGGGTTTACCCTCTGGAGTGAGAGCTTCGAAGGGTTGGAGGGTGTAGGGGACCAAACAACTGTTTCTTGAAGTGCCCTTCTGCGTCATCATCACGTGCCCACACGGAGGTGCCGTCATCATGCTAAGAATCTGCGCAAAGGATCATGGGAGCCCGAAGTGTCCATCAGTTGTACCCTTCGAAATCTTTCATTCCGAAGGGCCCTTTGAAGTGGCCAGTTTTGAGCACTTTGGTTTGGAACGACCCTTCAATATGGCGGCCATGATTGTTTTCACTCCAAGATGCCCTTCGGAGGGCAATATATCCTGTTTGGAACGCACTGTGAGTGTGTGGGTGTAGGGGTGTGTGTGTGTCTTAAATAGTTCTTCTGATATGAAACAAGTGTGAACTGATAATGAGTTCCTGGGCAGAGGGAACCTGGGAAATGGAGTGGCAATGGTGCAGGATAGAGTGTTAAAAACAAGTTAAACAAGTTAAAAATACTAACTTGATGAGATTCATACTTGGCTTTAATAAACAGATTATTGATTACATTGTTAATGTAAAAATAGAAAATAGATTTTTATTCTGGTAGTGTAAGTATTGTTTATTTTCACGCGACGGCTGCCGCGGTAAACTAAGCTTTTTTATACCCCTCTAACAAAATACTAAATTAATTCAGCTGGACACACTTTCCTTATTTTCTCCGCAACAAATGGCCAAGCAAGCGCAGACACTGACAAGATATGCGATACAGAACGAGACCAAACGCGATATCAGCACGTCTCCACCCAGTAAACAAAACAAGCGTTTCGTAGCAACAACAACTGCACTAAACACTAATGAGACAAGTAAATACACTTACTATACTTCATATATATATTAGTGCTGTCAATAGATTAAAATTTCTATCCAGCAAAGTAAACCAAAAGATTGAAGGGTGGGTCTCACAGAACTGTATTTTCTATCCTGAATGTGTGTGGAAATAACATGAATGTACTGAAATATGTCTATGCATAAATACAATGTATGATCTGTACGTCAAGAGCGCACATACACAGTTTGTTTGTGCATCAATAGAATGGACTCACGCTTGCTTGCTGTACGACACCTGCACGTCACCTCAATTGTCTCTACATTGATTGCTATCCCCAACCATCAAAAGAGAGGCTAGAGAGAGGCTGGTTTGCTTTATCCAGCCAAGAAAACATACTTTGCGTATCATGCAGTGGTGGCATGTGTTAATGCGGTAACATTGACAGCCCTAATATATATAATTTGCAAAATAATGATTGAGATGTATACACTCACACATAATAAAGTAAAGAAAATGTTACTACTTTTTACTTGATGGTGACCCCACATGACATTTTTGAGATAATTTAACTGAAAAACTTTCTTGACAATGTTATAAACATCTTTTTAAAATGAAGCCAACATGAATGCCAAGAGTACATTTTTCTAAAAACATAATTTTCCCATCCTTTTCAGTTTCTCAGTTGATTTTTATTGATAAACCACGGTTTCTTCTACAGGTGGTCTAGCTGCAGTCATCTACACAGACACCCTGCAGACCATCATCATGGTTGTGGGATCATTCATTCTTATGGGTTTTGGTACGTCTGTTCACATTTTTGTGATTTGTGTGACTTTGGACAACACTCAATGACTACTTGCTTCAACATCAACCGTTTTCTTGCAGCGTTCAATGAGGTGGGAGGCTATGAGAACTTCAAAGACCGATACATGACTGCGATCCCGTCAGTGGTGGGAGTGAACATCAGTGAAGAGTGCTACACTCCTCGTGCAGACTCATTCCACATCTTTAGAGACCCCATCACCGGCGATCTGCCCTGGCCTGGCCTGGTCTTTGGTCTTTCTATCCAAGCCACCTGGTACTGGTGCGCTGACCAGGTACTGATCCATTTATGATGGCTACTGGAATCATTTTCAGAACAATTTTTTCAGCTGATGATTAATAAAAACATTGGCAGCCAGTCAGAATCCATCCTGACTTTAAAGAGCTTGAGCATATAAAGTGGCAGACGACAAAACTGCAGCACACTCTTATAGTAAACAGAACACTAACGTGCATTGGAGTGGACGCTAATATAGTTATCGTTATAATTGTCAATAGTTATTGTTCTTGATATTTGTTCAGTAACACTTTCTACCCAGTAAACTGTATTCTAAAGATTTTGTGAATGTTTCCATTAAGTTTTGAAAATGTTATTTCTGAATGTTCTCTGAATGTTCATGTCACAATTTCAAAGTTCAAAAGATGGAGATGAGTCAAAGGTCCAACATGGAGGTATTTAATCAAAGAATAAACGCAGTGTAATCCAAATCAACACAAAAGGGTGCACAATACACAAACAACAACTGACAATAAACTGAGGAAACAATGGAACTTAAGTATAAAGTTTTATGCAAAAATTTGGGCACCCCTGATAATTATCATAATTTCAATTTATAATCTGCTGGGCTTTCGAAGTAGCAACTTCATTTGGATATAATTTATACCATTTGGAAACAGTAACATTTCAGTTCTGAAATAACATTTATTGAATCAACAGATTCAATGCAATATGAATCATTACAAAAACAGACAGGTGCAATTGTTTGATAACCCCAATTTAATAATGACATCAGTATTTAGTGGAGCCACCTTTTGCTGAAACAACAGCCTGTAGATGCTTCTTATAGCCACTGATAAGTCCCTGAATTCTGGCTGCAGGTATTTTGGACCATTCTTCCATGCAAAATTTGCCTTGTTCAGTCAGGTTTGATGGCTGCCGAGCGTGGACAGCCTGCTTCAAATCAATCCATAGATTTTTGATGAAGTCTGGGGACTGGGATGGCCATTCTAGAACATTGTATCTGTGTTTGTTCATGAATTCCTTGCTAGATTTGGAACAGTGCTTTGTGTCATTTTCCTGCTGAAACAACCAACCCTGGCGTAACTTCAATCTCAAACATTGTTCTTAAGAATCTGCATACACTGGGTGGAATCCATGCACCCTCAACAAAGGAATGGAATAAGATGTAGGGTAGTATTGAGTAAACAAATGTGGTATTGCACATCTTTTTATTGAACCGTATGTGAGAGAACATTTAACTGTTCATGAGGTAGATTGCCTGGGGAAGAAACTTCTCTCATGCCTGGCAGTCCTTGTGTTCGGTGCTCTATAGCGCTGGCCAGATGGTAAAAGTTCAAAAAGGAGATGGCTTGGATGTTAGGGATTCAGAGTGATCTGGATATATACAGTTCTTGAAGGTTAGGCAGGGGAGCACCAATAATCATTTCAGCAGTCTGAACCATCCTCTGTAGTCTTCCGATATCTGATTTTGTAGCTGAGCCAAACCAGACAGTTATTGAAGTGCACAAGTCAGATTCAATGACTAGAGAGTAGAACTGTATCAGCAGCTCCTGTGGCAGGTTGAACTTCCTTCGCTGGAGAAGGAAGTACAATCTCTGTTGGGCCTTTTTAACAATGGAGTCAATGTGATTGTCCCACTTCAGGTCCTGAGAGATGGTGGTGCCCAGGAACCTGAATGACTCTACTGCAGCCACAGTGCTGTTCATGATGGTGAGTGGGGGGAGTGCAGGGGGGGTTCTCCTGAAGTCCACAATCATCTCCACTGTTTTGAGCTTGTTCAGCTCCAGGTTGTTAAGACTGCACCAGACAGCCAGCTGCTCAACCTCACTTCTATATGCAGAATCATCATCGTCCTGGATGAGGCCAATGACTGTATTGTTGTCTGCAAACTTCAGTAGCTTGACAGAGGGGTCAGTAGAAGTGCAGTCGTTGGCGTAGAGGGAGAAGAGCAGTGGGGAGAGAACACGTCCCTGGGAGGTGCCAGTGCTGACGGTGCAGCTGTTTGACATGGTTTTCCCCAGTTTCACTAGCTGTTGCCTATCTGTCAGAAAGCTGGTGATCCATTGACAGATAGAGCTAGGAACAGAGAGCTGGGTTAGTTCAGTCTGGAGGAGTGCTGGGTAATTGTATTGAAATCCGAACTGAAGTCTACAAACAGGATCCTCACATAAGTCCCTGATTTGTCTAGATGTTGTAGGATATAATGCAGTCCCATGTTGACTGCATCATCCACGGACCTGTTTGCTCGGAAAGCAAACTGCAGGGGGTCCAGTAAGGGTCCAGTGATGTCCTTCAGATAAGCCAACACCAACCTCTCAAATGTCTTCATGACCACAGACGTTAGGGCCACAGGTCTGTAGTCATTAAGTCCTGTTATCTTGGGTTTCTTTGGGA